GGCTGAGCTGGAGCTGCCCCGGGGGAGGGAGGGGGGCAGGGTGTGCGGCCGGGCCCCAGGGCCCCAGGTGGGCGGGCGGACGCCCTCTGCCCTCACCTCAGGCAGCCGGTGGCGTTGAAGAAGACCTCGGGGTCCACCAGCTCCCGGGACAGGTTGCTGTTGCCGTCGCCCCAGCCGGAGAAGGGGATGATGACGCGGTCGGCCAGCACGGGCAGGGCGTCCGAGATGAGCTCCTCCTTCAGCTCGTCCGTGGAGGACAGGTTCCAGAGCAGCCCTGGGGGTGGGGACAGTGGCCCCATCACATGCCGGCTCAGGAGAGGGGGGGGCCCCCCTCAGCCTGCTCTGGCCACCGAGCCTACTGGACTGTCCCATGCAGCTAGACCTGGTCAATCAAATCTCCGGTCCCATCGTTTCCCGAGCTTTCTGTGTAGTTCAAAATTAACGCACAGGGACGGTGATCCGAAACCACGGATCAGCCGGCCGGCGTGGCTCCGTGGTTGAGCGTGGACCTATGAACCGGGAGCTCAGGGTTCGATTCCCCGGTCAGGGCACATGCCGGAGTTTCGGACTCAGTCCCCAGTAGGGGGCGTGCAGGAGGCAGCCGATCGATGATGCTCTCTCCTCATTGATGTTTCTCTCGCTGGCTCCCTCTCCCTTCCTCTCGGAAATCAATAAAAATGTTTAAAACAACAACAACAAGGAAAACCTTTGGTGGGTGGTTTTCAATAGGGATTGTAATGCTCAGAGTCTCCTACTGGTCTCTGTTTTCTACCTGAGAGTCATTCCAGGAATACGCATCCCTGTCCCACTGTCCCTGGTCTCACATTCCGCGTCCAATCGAGGCTGCGTAGTGACCGTGTTTCTGGGCCCGGCCCTCCGTGTTCAGCACGTATTTTTGGACACGGGGGAGATGTTGGAGACCTGTGGGCACCTGCCCCTGTCGCCTAGAAACCCCCAGGTCTGCTGGAGGGGGGTCCCGCCTGGACAGCGACCTTCCACCCCTTGCCCATGATCCTCCAAAAGGCCTGGACCCCCGCGAGCATGCACCATGCCCAGGGTCACCATCTGGCCCCCAGGAGCCCGGCCACAGCTGGCGCGGATGCCGCCCTGCCGGCGGGTCTCCAGCTTGTTGGTGGCGCTCCGGAACACCAGGTTGCGCAGGGCCCCGGCCGCGGCCTGCTGCACGTTCTGGTTGGGGCTGCGGAGGAGGTCCACCAGCTTGCTGATGCCGCCCAGCTGATAGACCTGGGGGACAGGGAGGCGGCTCAGACCACGGGCCCTACCTTCCCTTCGGAGACCTTCACGCCAGCCCCCGTGAGCGCGCCGTGCGACCCAATGGGAACGGGCCGGACCAGGAGCCAAGACGGGGACTCAGCCCGGCCGGCGTGGCTCAGGGGTTGAGCATCGACCTAGGAACCAGGAGGTCACGGTTCGATTCCCGGTCAGGGCACAGGCCCCGGTTGCAGGCTCGATCCTTAGTGGGGGGCGTGCGGGAGGCAGCCGATCC